ACGGTGAGATAGATGAGCCGACCCACAAGACGACGATACTTGCCGGGATCAGACAAGAACTGGCTGTCGGAGAGAGCGAGACGGTGGTTCTGGTCTAATGGAAACTGAGCAGGTTTGCAACCAAGCAAACCGGCTTCGGAGATTATGTCGATGGTGTATTTCCGTTGGTAAATATAAATCCCGTCGTTGTTCCGAGCAACCTCCAAACCGAGAAAATATTTGAGGACACCCAAATCTTTCATATAAAAACATGAGCTGAGATAAGACTTGAAAGTTCGAAGAGCAATGGGTGAGTTGCCGGATATAATTAAGTCATCGACATAAACGAGAACACACAAGTGTACGATACCGTCGCGGAAAGTGAAGAGGGAATGGTCCGATTGGGACTGAACAAACCCGTACTTCTGAAGAGCCGACCGAAGTTTTTCGAACCAACATCTCGGAGCTTGACGCAAGCCATATAAGGATTTGCGAAGACGACACACAATACCGGGTTCCGGAGATTCGAAACCAGGTGGCATGCGCATGTAGACTTCTTCTCTGAGATCACCATGTAAGAAATCATTATGGACATCCATCTGATGAATCTCCCAATGCCGAGCCGCAGCGACAGCCAAGAATGTACGCCCAGTCTGGAGCAAAAGTCTCGCCATAATCTAACTCGTCTACTTGTCGATTACCTAGAACTACCAACCGAGCTTTGTATCGTTCAACCGATCCATCAGAGCGATACTTGATTTTAAAAATCCACTGACATCCGATAGCTCTCTTACCCAATGGAAGTGTTTCCACTGTCCAAGTGCGATTACTGACCAGGGCATCGATCTCGGTTTTCATAGCTGCTTGCCACCGAGGGTCGCGAAGAGCTTCCTTATACGACCGTGGTTCGAACCCGTCGGTTACAGCAACCAAGAAGGCACGGTGAGCAGGAGAAAATCGAACACAATTAACAGAATGGGCGAAAGGATACAGCGAACCTGAAATACGAGAGTCGGGTTGAGCAGGGGACGAGCGCGAGACTTGGACGGTGTTCGTGACATAGTCGTGAAGACGGGTAGAAGGAAAACGAGTTCTTTTGCCACGACCCAGTTCCTCGTCTGGGACAACATCAGTTGGGTGAACCAAGGAGCCCCCCCTGTCGTCAACATCCTCGGAGGGCTGGATCGAATCCGTAGCATCCGGTGACCCAGAATCGTCACCAACACAAGTAGGATGACACAGATCAGAATCCGGCGAAACAGTTGCTAGAACAGGAGGTGTCGGAGGCACCGACACAATGACAGAGTCGTCGAAGTCGGTAAACACAGGCCAAGAATCTGGTGAAACCGAAATAGCAAGAGTGGAAGCCACCGGAACATCGAGAAACGGAAATTTATCTTCGAAGAAGACGACATCCCGAGATACGAAAAACCGACGTGTATCGAGGTCGTAAAGGCGCCAGCCTTTCTTGCCCGCCGGATACCCAACAAACACGCACCGAACACTGCGAGATGCGAACTTATCCCCATGAGTATCCTTGTTGTGAGAGTAACAGAGGCACCCTACCGTCCGAAGATGATGATAAGCAGGAGATTTCCCATAAAGAACGTCGAAAGGAGAACGCTCAGACATTAACTTTGTGGGAGTCCTATTGATGAGATGACCAGCAGTGAGAACACAATCACCCCAGAACTCAATAGGAAAACCTGCCTGAAACATCAAGGCTCGTGCAACGTTGAGAATATGCCTATGTTTCCTTTCGGCCCGACCATTTTGCTGAGGTGTATGAACACAAGATGTTTCGTGAATAATCCCATGAGTTCGAAAAACACCACCAAGACACATGAATTCTGAACCATTATCGGTGCGCACGGTCAAGACTTTCTTGTGAAACTGGCGCTCCACCATGGCAAGAAACGTAATAAGAAAATCAGATACTTGGCTTTTGTCCGACAACAGGTACAGCCACACTCCTCTCGAAAAGTCATCAACAATCGTCAAAAAATAGCGAGCGCCACTAAAGACGGCGTACGGTACGGTCCCCACAAATCGCAATGTATCAATTGAAAAATCTCGGTAGTTTTATTAGAACTGGAATGAAAAGAATCTCGTGTTTGTTTGGAATGAAAACAAACATCACAATCAACAAGAGAAGACCCAACAGGTCGATAAAACTCAATCCCGGAAATCTGCTCAATGACCGCTTTCGAAGGATGTCCCAAACGACGATGCCACACGTCAAACGAAACTGTGTTATGAGAACGAACAGCTAAAGCGTGTTCAAACCCTCGAAAGTAGTAGAGCCCGTCCCGTAGCTCACCCGCTCCAATCAGCATCTTCGAAACCCGGTCCTGAATGGAACAAAAACAATTAACGAATTGAACAGTGCAATCACAATCGGCAAGTAACTGTGACACCGAGATGAGATTGACGCGAAGGCCGTCAACAAAAAGAACATCCGACAGAATAAGTCGTAGAGAGAGCTGAACAGATCCGGACTGAACAGCAACTGAACAACGACCGTCAGGTAGAGTAATGCGGCACGGTGACACACACACGGAGTCTTGCAACACGGAGAAACAACTGTCATGTGACGAGAGGCACCGGTGTCCAGAATCCAAGGAACAGAAGAAGACATACCCGAAGACGTAGTTGTCGCGCCAATTTTGCCGGCGTTGACTAGAGAAACAAGGGTCTTCCACTGCTCTGCATTCAGTCCAGGGAGGGGAGACGCATCAGAGGGTAATGCCACAGGTTCCGGCGACGCACCGAGAATACTCGGTGACGAAGAAACAGGGGTATGAACGGAATTAACCCGAACAGAGCTTTTTCCTCGATTAGGAGCACCGCGACCTCCTCTGTCCGAACGACCACGGGGACGATCGCCCCACCATTCTGGATAACCCAGAATCTGAAAGCAGCTGTCAACTGCATGACCGGAACGACCACAGTTGGAGCAGACGACGGATTTGTCCTTTCCAGAAGGCAAATCACGAGGTTTCGGGGCAGTGGAGACAGCAAACGCCGCGATATCAGAGGGAGGAATCGAGGAAACGACAGACGCTTTGGAGGCTTCGTATTGAGTAACGACCATATATGCCTCTTCGACTGTCGGAAGAGGTTGCCAGGACAGCAAGTTCGAACGAACGACGCCAAATTTTTCATCGTCAAGACCCAAGAGAAATTCATACAAACGATCTTCTTGCCTCTGTTTCTCGAATTCCTCGGTAATGTTGCACACGCACAGACCGCAATGGCAAGTCTTCAAAGATCGGAGTGTAGCCAGATCGTCCCACAACTTAGTGATTTTCCCGAAATAGGACTCCACAGTCATACCCTTCTGTCGGCAATTTGCTAGGTCGCTCCGAACACGAAGAAGACGCGGGGCACTTGTCATACCAAACCGGCGCTTAAGATAATCCCACAAATCCTTAGCAAATTCCCGATGAACTACATCCGAACGTAGCGTAGGTTCCAAGGTGTTTTTGATCCAGGAAACGATAAGAGAGTTGTTCGTTTCCCAGTCATCAAAATCGACGGAATCTGGGGCTGGAGTCGGAATCTTGCCGTCTACGAACCCAAATTTCTTGCGGGAACGCAGAGCATGTCGAATATTAATAGACCACTCCTCGTAGTTGGGACCACGTAAGAGCGCCCGGATTGTCGCTGGGACTAAGGTCATATGGAGAAATAGTTCTCCGTGGTACATCGGTAGAAAATATGGTCGGGTTCGTCGGCATTGACGGATCAGTGGGTGTAGGTTGAGAAGAATCAGAAACGGTAGTGTGAGAAGAAGACATCGAAGGAGAAGAAGAAGAGTGAAAAGAGGAGGATCAAGAGTCGTCGGGCTCTGATACCATGTCACGACGGCAATCGCAGCAAGAACAAAGAACAGGAAATCGGTACTGCGAATGCTTGTGTGTTATTCATGGCCACCAAGGCTTATATGCACAAAGAGACGTAACTAAACCTAGCTGTACAAGGGATGAAATTCTATCAGATCCTATCAACAAGGTAACAACCCATATCTCGTATTATACATGATATACACGGAATATTCTCGCCCAATAGTTTGCCTGTTATTTCAAGGCTCCCCCTCAAGTCGATCTCACCCTCTCTCAGTTCTCACTCACCGGTGTTTCCCTTACAAAACGCTCTCTCTCAATGTCTCTCTCAAAGAACCATTTTCTCTTGATAATCTCGACAGTGATACCAATGCCTCGCTCCTCGCATATATTCGCCTTTTTCTTTGATTCATCGAATATCCTCTTCATAAATATTCTTTTTTTTCTTCTTGAATGCAACTGTCTTCTTTCATCTTTCCATTTCTTTCCTTATGTGCTTTCCATGCTTTCCATGCTTAACTTCACATTTCCATTTTCTTGTTTGATCTTCTAGATGCTGAATATGCTCTTCCCTTACTTCAACAAATTATTTTCGACCGGAATCACTAGCAGCTGTGAAGATCATTAAATATGAACAAAACCTTAGTTAGAGAAGTATTTTGTAGTCGATCCATCCATCAACATCTAATTAATGCCCGTTGTATACAAAATAAATATCCTTAGTTACACGATTTTATTTAAATAACATAAACATACTTCCTGTTTCTAAGTTCCTATATTTATCCAATAACTTCAATATTACACTAACCTAATAAACCTTACGTTGCATAATATAAAAAAGAGAGATTCTAGGGAGAGCACATGGATCCATATAATTGGAATATTGGCATTGCTTCTCGTATATGATGTTGCAATATGAAGTATCCAAAGGAGTTTTTGGTATCTAAAGACAGAATCGATATAACTAGTTAATATTATGATAACACATTTAATACATTAGGATTACGATATTTATTATAATTTCCCATAAATTAGTGTGGAAATTTCGAATTTCAGTTCGGTGTCAATTTAGTATTGATTTGTTTCGTATTATTCGGTTATAAACAAATTTATATCATTCAATTATTATGTTACATTCGGATTAAAAAAAATGTTTATTTTTTAAGATATCATCTTTTTTTTTAAAATTTTTTAATTTTCGATTCAATTTCAATTTATTCGGTTTTTTAAGAATATAATATTTCAATTTTTTGACGGTTGAATTCGAAAATGGTACTAATTTTCAGTTTGAACCGAAAATCCACCCTCCTATACTCATCATTACACTCAAATGCATTTTCGACGCCCTTTACTCACAATTATAATATAATATAATATAATATAATATAATATAATATAATATAATATAATATAATATAAGGGTCGGCTTAGCATAGAATTTAATAGGTGACAAGTGAAACATACCAATCAGGATCATTTTCACAACGAGGGGAAGAAATCGATGCCAAGACATAACATTATTAACATATATGTATAGTCAACTTTGATTATCCATATACATATATAGGGCAAAATATTTGATGAAGTATGCATGTCTACGTGGCATTATTTGATCGGAACAAGCAGCATGCATGTATGGGGGTACACGGAGAACTCGTGTTGGCGTTCGAACCACACCTTATTTATTTTATCATTTTATATGCAAAGGGCCAATATCAGAATCTCTACGAGTGGTTATCCGATATATCTATTTCAGATATATTTGTTTTGTCCCTGAATCGATCGAGAATCGGTGATGTTTCTATTTTCATATATATACGCATGTGCATAGTACGAAGAGCGACCTCTCAAAATGATGTGATTTTATTGTTTTGTCTGAAATTTTTAATTTTTTTATGGCAATCATAATCTTTACGTTTTTATATTCCAATAATTTGATATATTATTAGACAAGTAAAGCTAAATTTTATTACCTCAATGTAATCTAGATATTCACGCGCATTATAAATCGGTTAAATCGAGTTCAGATTCATTAGATGATATAATCTAAATAATTATATTCAATCCGTTTCAGTTTAGCTGACGTTTTAGAACAATGTTTTTGTTTCAAATTAAGTGACGTTTTTAGATTTTCAATATAGTAATTTTTCCAAATTTATCCCTAATTAATAATATTTAAATATTCTGCATATTTAGAAATAATAATTCTTTGTGTAATAAATAAAGGTATTTTGGATAAACCATTATTTTTTAATTTATGTCTAAAATAAAACGGAAGGAGTAATCCAGGCGCATTTAGATTATAGATAAATATAATCATTATGTTATAATATTCAAAGCTATAACTGGACACTGCAATAGCGCACGTCTACATATCGTCGGACCCAACTCGTAAGTTATAACTTATAATATGGAACAAAATTTCGAAACATGCTTAACCCCACCTTCACCTGATGTGATAAATGGAAGTCAACGGTCTGCTAGCCAATAATTGAGAAAAATAAATAAATAAAAATATAACGACACGATTATATGTATCGAGCTTATTACAAGCGCGCATATATATATATATATATATTGCTTGAAATGCTCCTAACTTGTGATTCTGAATATAGATAACTATAGGGTCTTTTCTATTAATGCATTTTTAACTACTTATTTCATTTTTTGTTGTTGTTTATGTTACTCGAAGTTCCATGCGTGTGTGATGCAAGATTAGGATAGATTTTGGAAAACATTAGAAAGTACTGTCTGTGTTTAGTATAATTCCGATTAAATATGTCACTACATAGAAAACAATGTACAAAGTTCTTCATTATATATATATATACATATATATGTTGGAGTTTTTTTTAATTAAATGAAAGGAGATATTTTTGTATGTTATTCTCCACATTTATATTCTAAAACTTAAAAAATATTTATGACTTTTGGGAGTTTTACAATTTTTCAATCCTATAAATAGGAGGTTTTGTCTTCATATTTTACAAACCAAGAAAAACAAACAAGAGTTTTCTAAAGAAAAGAAAACATATATTTTCTCTTTGTGATTCAAGCCGAGATTTGAATTCGACAAGGCATCGGAGTTTGAAGTACAACTGTTCTGGTGAGGTACGTCCGTCATATCCTGGGAGGATATATTCCATTAACCGTAGGTACCGCGAGGGGAATAATTTCCTTAAGGAAACACGGTTCGCCGTGGGTTCGGATTTGGTTTTTTCGGTTTTAAAAAACATATTGATATAATGATGTTGGTTTGAACATAACTTTCTATATCGTTATCGGAATTGCATGTTCTTGACGTCGTGTCATAGATATCGAAATTATCTTTCTAATGATGTATGACATGCATGATGTGGTTGTATATTTTGAAAGTTATTAAACTCGAAGTTCTTGATATGGAATTGGAAGTTAATAAAGCATGAATATGAGACCTATAAAATAACACACCTAACAATATATATATATATATATATATATATATATATATTATCCGTTCTCTCTATTTTGTAATTTCAACATCGTATAAAATTTCTGATTATCAATTTCAAGGTTTATTGAAGTATTTGTAAAGTATAACTATTTGAATATTTAGAATCATAAGTTTAAGTCGGTTCTTTTACATAATTTTTATGTGTTGCGAGTCCATGAATATTAAATTTTAAAGGGTGATTTTAACAGTATTTGTTCAGCATCTAAAGGTTATATATATATATATATATACACATTTATAAAGTTCAACGATGAAACAGATAAGATTGGAGTAAATAATAATAATATTGCATGACTTTAACCAAAAAAACAAATATTGCATGGTTAGAGAACGGACATTTGGCGATCAACTTGCCTCCACGTTGAATGAGATCACTTCAGTGGCGACCCCTGGAAACAGTATTGGATTATTTGTTGCACGACACCTTATAAACTGAATCACGACACTGAAATAGTCAGATATAATATTTGATTGAAAAAAAATAGAAACTAAAGAATAATTTGCTCATAAAAAATACCGAATAACTGTATTGAAATATTAAATTTTAAGTTCAAGTAAAAATTATGCATTTTTAAATCCGAAGTTTTTATACAATATTTACAGTATTAAATTTTTTTCTTATATTTTACTGCCTAAATCATTTCTGTTATGCCTTTTAATATTTCAATTTTTTTATTATATTTCAATATCTAATCAGTTGCATAAAAAACTATTTACTACACACCTTTATCCAATATTAGGGATATAAAACGGGTTGGTCTATTTATAAACCGAACCAAAAAAATTCTAAATCATATCTAGACTATTTTAATTTGCAAATTGATTCACGAACTAAATATAAAAATAGAAATAAAAATTAAAGAAAAATAATAAAATAATTATTTAAAATTTTAATATATATTATCTAATTGTATCTGAATTAATATATTCAAATGTAATTAGAACAAATTTGGAGTATCAAGATTGTATAGTAGAGATAATTTTATATCAAAATTTAGAAATTGTTATTACATATTAAAATTTTAATATATATGTATATATATATTGTCAAAAAGTTTATTCATCTATTTCCAAATTTTTTAAAATTTAAGTATAAATAAATAATGATGGGATTCCTGGGATCTCTAGAGCGAATCCTATTCCTAAGAGATCAATTCTAGGGTTTGCGCAGCGGATATAAAATAAAAAT